TTTCTTTTTGAGTTTTTGACTATTTAATTGAAAACCAACTCTTTTCAAAACAAATTCCATCATAATATTTATTTTTTCAACACGATTTTTTTCTGTTTCTGTAAGCCATAACTCAAAAAGTTCTTTAATTTTAATAATTGGTGTCATTAAAAGTTGCAGCTAGATGCAAATAATTTTTAGATATTCTTTAAGTACATACTTGAATAAGTAATTTGTCAAAAAATTAGAAATATAAATTGATATAATTTTGAGAAAAAGACTTTTAAAGTTTAACTTTTATGAACTGATCACGCGCGCGAATTTACTTTTTTAGAATAACGGTAAAATGAAAATAGGAATCAAAACAAAATAAATCAAAGTGTTAACGGACTTACTAAATTATATATTTTACTCATATATGCATTTTATGCAGAGTTGTACCTAAAAAAAACTAATATATGGCTTGAAAGTGCATTGCTATAAACTTAGGTTTTTTCAAAAAAAAAATTAAGATCTAATTAGAGTGACTTTGATGAGAAGATGTGGTCCCATGCATAGAAATTTTTGAAAAATATTTCAGATTTTTCTTAGTAGAAGTATTACCTATCAATATGTAAACCGCTTTTCCAATTCCAATAACCTTAATTTTTTATGATTTTTGTCCGCACTCGTTACACTGTGCGCCGGTGACGAAGCGGAATTTAGTTTTCCGTGATTGTGAAACTGCAGGGCTTGGCACACTTGCGTGCACTTGCGCCAAAACGATGATGGTAGAAACACACTGGATATTTAGATACCAGGTTTGCTGGACGTGTTCGTGAATGTTGTTTTCGTGCCGGTGTTTGATTTACGTCGTGAACGGAAATGGTGTTGCGATTCTTTGCTCTCTCGTAACTGCTTGGTAAGTTCTTCCACAGCATTCACTAAATGTCTGACATCAAAGGAAGAAGGCACAGTTGAATTGTCACCTACATTTCTCGCACTGGTGTGCACTTCAGAAACAGAATTGTAACTTCTCATTTCCAGCATTAAATCTACTTGTTGTGCACATTTATCCAAATCGACATCAGAAATGGACACGACCGCTCGTACACCTTCTGGCAGACGATCCAACCACAATTGTTTGATTGCACCATCGTTCATAGTGCCACTAGACAAATCGCGCATCGTTCGTAGCAAATGTGACGGCTTGTGATACACTAACTGACATTCTTGAATGAGACGCCGTAATTTCCGATTTTCTGAATCCGCGAAATCTTGAATCAAACGTCTCTTAACTACTTCATACTTATTAACAGTAGGTGGAGCACGTATGACATCGGCGATGTTCCTCAATGTGTTGCTGTTAAGGCTGCCGACAACGTGATCGTACTTCGTTTGATCCGTTGTTATGCCCGCGTTTCGAAACTGCGACTCCATCTGTATAAAATATAGATCTGGATCTCGCTTAATGAAAGCAGGTGCTTTTACTCTTAGACGGCAAATGTCGCCAGCTCGAACGTACGACATTACTGTCTGCTTCAGTTTGCGACATGTTTTGAGCTGAATTCACGACTTCAATTATTAACTAACGTAACACTTGTTTTCAACCGTCGAGGGTCACCAATGTAGTAAGGTTGACTCTCAATATGAGGTTTTAAATATTTATTAAGAATCAATAAATTACTAACAATTATGTTCTGTTCAGTTCTGTTCTGAATTCTAAAATTTTTCTCATTTTCTAATTTTCAAAATGAAAATGTATGAGCATGAAAATTTGATTGTCAATTTGTATTTTCAAAGTAAACTTCTCTACTTTGAATAATGACACACGAACGCCACAACCCCAATATATTTTTGTTGTTTTAAAATCCATTTTATTCTATGGACGTGTGCGAGTTAGGCTAAGTTGCGTTCTAAATGAGGGAAATTCTGTGTTGTGCCGATAATGTAGTGATGTGTCGATACGTGTTGATGTGTGCAGTGCAAAAAATCCCAAAAAATCTCCGATTTGCTTTAGCATCAACTTAGCCTAACTCGCACACGTCCTATATGTTTTAATTTCTTGATTTTATTTTTTGTTTTAAGAAATAAATTATATTGTTGTATTCATTTTTAAATGAATACACGATTTTTTAAGCTCAACTATTATGCTGACACAGCCTATGTTAAATGTGGTCAGTTGCGATGCCTTGTGTTCCCAGAGGTTAGCGGTTCCACAAAAAGTAAAAATACCTCTTTTTGCCCATCGTTATTTACTGCATATGACATAAAATAAAAGTAGTAGTTCCAGTTGTTATGCATTGAAACCTAGAATCAGTTTGTTTGTTAGCTTGACTAGAACTGAATTGGAAGTGTCCAGCAAAAGCTAATCAAACAACGTCAGTTATGCTGGAATTTGCATTCTTGTGATAAATATAGTGGGGTTAGTGGAGTTTGTTCATTAGAGTTATTATTGTTCATCAAATAAACAAAGAATGCTGTATTCAATTTGAGTAGCTGAATCAGCATAAACAATAACTAAGTTAGATTCATTGCACTCTAAAACTGTGTACACAGAAAGCGTTACTTGATTTTGTTTTCCTAAATAAATACTGTAATATTGTGCCTTGTCTTTTATTTTGTTTAATACAAAGTAAGACAAAACAGAGTAAGAGTAATATATAAATTATGATTAATAAATCCTCATAACACCTTCGCCCTTAAAGAAAGCCAATGAGATAATATATGCCTTTAATTCCAGAAGCATGGCACATGTCATAACAGACTAGCAAGGCCAACTTTTACCTTGCCCCTCAATTCTTCCAGACCAATAACATTGTTAAGATTTATATATCAATAATTTTATAATTAAAAAGTTTTATATAAAACATTTGCTTTATTTTGTTTACATTCATATTCAAATTTAATTTCATTTGTTACGACATACATATATTTATACTAATTTATTTGCATACATGTCTCTAGATTATACGGTATATATATATTTAATTTGATAATGTTGACTATTTTGTTTCATAGAATTATTTAAAAGACCATGTTCTACAGTTATAGCTGACTCAGATTGTTTTGTTTCTTCCTATTTGTAGGCAAGAAGTAAAAGGTAGTGTGTTCTTCAAACTAAACACTTTACTGCAAATTGCACTGACAATTAAAATAATTAAAAACTATTATTAAAAAATTGTGTGCACCAATTTAAAAAATATGTAATATATGTATACTATACCTTTCTTGCGTTCCAGACGCTGAAGGACCGACCTAATCTGCATCTTTTAAAACATCTGAAAATATAATTGTTTTTAATACATAATTATTAAAATACAATTAAATAAGAAATAAATCAGAATAGCAAAAATTTCCTTACTTTCGAATGATTCCATTATATAATTTTGATTTTGATGATATTGATAACAGCGTGAATTTTGTTTTTCTAAATTGTTTAAATTATTCAAACTAATTGATATTTAAAATTCTTGCAAACTGAAAAGTGTCTGTTCAAAGAATCTATAGTACAAAGAAGTGCCACGCTCATACAAACGAAATACCCACTTTATCTTGCTGGTGGATTTATAATAAATCCACCCAACCTCATGCAACAATGTTCGATCGAGTCACAACTGGTATGATGTTCAGTTCAAACTCATTGCAACCCACAATTGTTTTTATACTTTTGCCTTTCTTGTTTTTATTTGTCTATTTTATTAATATACATTGATTAGTAACGAAGTGAATGGTAAAGAAATCCCTCAAATAATTTTTCGATATACTTTGTTGCTTTATCTTCTTGTACTGGAAAGGCCCATATCATAGGAGTAAAGAGTAATAGAATATATTATTTTTTTTATTGCAACAAATGATGCACTACAAAAACCATTATGTATGTACAAATGTGATATTGGAGACATTAAGTCTGCAGTATATTAATGTGTATGTTTTTATTGCACATTTGTGTGCATATATTTTACCTCAAAAGGAACTACTTCTTAATAGTTTGAATTTTTGGTGACTTTTTGTGATTATTTTAAAAAATATTTTTAAGATTCATATAAAAGTGTTTGAAAAGTATTTTAAAGAAAATAAAAATATTAGAAAAGTAAGAAAAATTATATTGAAAAAATGTATAGAAGTCACTAAAACCACTAATAATGCTTCCTGGTTTGAGGAAGCGCATGAATGCTATTTACAAAGGATTGAAATGTTAAAATTGGAAAAGTCAGAAAAAGGAAAAAATCAGATTTGAGACATAAATAAATGTGTAATGTGTTTTTACACTACAATTCATAACAATATCAAACAGGGAATTTTGTTTTTATTTTATACTCTTAAATTCAAAAACTTATCAAATGTACACAATTTTGACTTCGTCACTGAAATGCTGTTTGATCGTTTGAACATTTTACAGCAAACAAACATACAAACATGCGTATAATGTAATACAGAGGGTTGCATGTATGATTGAATACGAATGCATTCGGGTTTTTGTCAGCCTTTCTCGACTCACATATAGGTTTGAACTGGACATCATACCAGTTGTGACTCGATCGAACATTGTTGCATGAGGTTGGGTGGATTTATTATAAATCCACCAGCAAAATAAAGTGGGTATTTCGTTTGTATGAGCGTGGCACTTCTTTGTACTATAGATTCTTTGGTCTGTTGACATATTAAAGTATTTATAAAAAATTTTTAAATAAATTTTTACTAACCTTCTTCTCGATCTTCTGCGATCTGCTCTGCAACTTGTACAACTTGTACAACATCTGAAAATATAATTGTTTTTAATACATAATTATTAATAAAAATAATTAGTTCACGGGCTAATTGGTCAGTTATTAAATAATGATATTTTTTATTATTTAGTTTTATAAGATTTTTATTTTCCAATATTTCGACTATATTCTATAGTCATCATCGGGGAACTATACATATAAATACATTGTAATTAATATTAAGGTATACATTACATAGAAACAATAATAAATTACATTTACATTGAAACATGAAACATACATATGTATTTGGAAAATATACAATACTTTGACTATAAGAATCATAAAAATAACATATATATACACGAAAAATATATTTATCCTCTTCCGGATTTGTCGAAAGTGTTTCTATACACCTGAGCACAGTGTTGTATGTCACTTTTGAAATTTAGTCTGGTGTCACACATATTAATACTAAAATCAGATAAGAGTAATAAAACAGTTGCTATAACTAAGGAAGATTACAATTCCAAAATCTATGATATAGTGAATGACATAATGTCGTATAGAATATTATTAAATATTCATATTATTAAAGTATTTATAAAAAATTTTTAAATAAATTTTTACTAACCTTCTTCTCGATCTTCTGCGATCTGCTCTGCAACTTGTACAACTTGTACAACATCTGAAAATATAATTGTTTTTAATACAAAATTATTAAAATACAATTATATAAGAAATAAATTAAAATAGGCAAAATTTAAAACATAAAAACTGAGGTCGACACTAATAAAAACATTATCACTTTAATTTAAAATATGTAATAAATATAATATACTTTTAAATAAATTTTTACTAACCTTCTACTCGGTTTGTCCGATCTCTTCTGGCTCTGGCACATCTGAAAATATAATTGTTTTTAATACAAAATTATTAAAATACAATTCTATAAGAAATAAATTAAAATAGGCAAAATTTAAAACATAAAAACTGAGGTCGACACTAATAAAAACATTATCACTTTAATTTAAAATATGTAATAAATATAATATACTTTTAAATAAATTTTTACTAACCTTCTACTCGGTCTTGTCCGATCTCTTCTGGCTCTGGCACATCTGAAAATATAATTGTTTTTAATACAAAATTATTAAAATACAATTATATAAGAAATAAATAAAATACTATTTAAAACATAAAAACTGAGTGACACTAATAAAAACATTATCACTTTAATTTAAAATATGTAATAAATATAAATATACTTTTAAATAAATTTTTACTAACCTTCTACTCGGTCTTGTCCGATCTCTTCTGGCTCTGGCACATCTGAAAATATAATTGTTTTTAATACAAAATTATTAAAATACAATTATATAAGAAATAAATTAAAATAGGCAAAATTTAAAACATAAAAACTGAGGTCGACACTAATAAAAACATTATCACTTTAATTTAAAATATGTAATAAATATAAATATACTTTTAAATAAATTTTTACTAACCTTCTACTCGGTCTTGTCCGATCTCTTCTGGCTCTGGCACATCTGAAAATATAATTGTTTTTAATACAAAATTATTAAAATACAATTATATAAGAAATAAATTAAAATAGCCAAAATTTACTTACTTTTGAATGATTCCATTATATAATTTTGATTTTGATGATATTGATAACAACGTGAATTTTGTTTTTCTAAATTGTTTAAATTATTCAAACTAATTGATATTTAAAATTCTTGCAAACTGAAAAGTGTCTGTTGACATATTAAAGTATTTATAAAAAATTTTTAAATAAATTTTTACTAACCTTCTTCTCGATCTTCTGCGATCTGCTCTGCAACTTGTACAACTTGTACAACATCTGAAAATATAATTGTTTTTAATACAAAATTATTAAAATACAATAATATAAGAAATAAATTAAAATAGGCAAAATTTAAAACATAAAAACTGAGGTCGACACTAATAAAAACATTATCACTTTTACTAACCTTCTACTCGGTCTTGTCCGATCTCTTCTGGCTCTGGCACATCTGAAAATATAATTGTTTTTAATACAAAATTATTAAAATACAATTATATAAGAAATAAATTAAAATAGCCAAAATTTACTTACTTTTGAATGATTCCATTTTTATTTTGATTTTGATTTTTATAGATTTTTTTTATAGAAACGTGTTGTTTTTATATAAATTGTTGTTTTTGAATTTATACAGCCGATAGAGACAGCAAATTAAGCTCTAAAGCTTAAAATAAAAAACAAGAAAAGTGTTGGAAGTAGAAAAAAAATCTGTACAAATTGCATCTCACAATATCGTGTAATTGTGTAAATTGTGTAGTTAACTTGTTAACTTATGCTAAATAAATAAAATTAATAAATACTTATAGCATTGACAGACGAGCGCACTAAATTATCATTAAGCAGCCTTAAATGATCATTTTAAAAATACCCTGACAGATGGTATAAATTATCATTAAGAAATTGCTGTATCATATGTTTTTTGTTATTGAAAAAGCAAAAGAAAGAATTTTAAATTCAAAATGGATAAGCAAGAAAAATTAAAGAAACTTGCTTTAATTAAATATAAAATATATAAAAAAAATATGAAATATATAAAAATATATCGAGTATTTACATTTACAAATGTTTCCAAATATGTTTTGTTTACATTTTGACAACCAAATAGCTTGGAATTTGTTTCATTTTTTATTTCGTTTCACTTGCATATGCAGCATTACCATTTCTAAAAACCTAAATGACGAATAAATTGGGTTATATTCGGTCATTTAAAGACCATAAATGATCATTTAAAACTGCTAAATGAGCAAATAAATTATATTTTAGCCCCTTAATGATAATTTAGCTCCCGTCTGTCAATGCTATTAGAATTTAACTAACATATAAAAGCATGGCCAACTACTTAAAATTAATTCTATAAACTGTTTTTAAAGTATTCATAACACAGATATTAATTCGTCCCTAGATATCAAAAAATTATTATTTTCCTTTTCTAGTATTACTGATACTACCACCGTAGTCCTAATTGTCCACCTTGATTAAAGTTTTTGTTTCGATTGTTGTAATGATTTTTATAAAAATTGAGAAAATCCTCTTAGATATTGATTTTCATTTTTATTTTAATTAATAAAATTTTGTTTAAATTGATTGGAGTCATCATTGATTGTTCTTTTTTGATTGTTGAAAAATCTGCTATTATTATTGTTATTATTAAAATTATTTACAGGAAATCGCAAGTTATTTCTATTATTATCGTTTGTATTATTGCTACTGAAATGCAGAGCGTAATTTTCTCTCATATTATTGGATTCCAATTCTTGGGTCTTTGCCAAGGCATTGGGCAGGTTCTCTGGGGAAAGTGAGAATAGAATGTTAGATAATAGAGCTTTCAGCCCCGTGGTCAACACTTGAAGAGCGATTTGATAATTTTGGTCGTTCATAACCTTAGTTATAGTACTATTGGTACTATGTGTCATTGTACTTTTATTTATTAATTGTCAATTTCTGATTCAGTCTATTATAATAATCAATAATAGAACGTCTTCTCTGTCATAATACATTAAGTTCTTGTTCAAGTATGTGAAGGGGTCTCTTATCAGCGTAAGCAAAATCTGAACGATCTGTTTAATTTAATAAAATTTTTTTTTATTATATTAAAATTATTATACTATAACACTACAAAATATTGAATACTATATTTTAGTTTTTAGTTTAAGATTTCTTACATATTAATTCTATTATTTGCTGCAGACAGATCCCGACCATAGACTTAAATTGTTGAATTTTTACCAGCGACTCCGGTAAGTCCACAGGTCTTCGTTGAGTTCTCTAGACATAACTTGTCTTATCGATTCTATTTCGCAGACTGCTTATTAGATTTTTTATTGAAAATGACTACATATTTTACTAGAAATATTAAAGAATGGATTAACCAATCGAGTTTTTGCTTCTAAAATTCTTAAGGATTTTCTGGAAGCTTTCTTATCCTTCCTATAGGATTGGAGTTTCTATTCTAAAGCGTCTCGTAAACGTCTTTAGCTTTGGCGTCAATAGCCGGATGACGAGTTCAATATTCAATAGTATTTAATATAAAACTTAAGTTATAAGGTTAGAATATTTCACGTTACTTTTATGTTGATGCGTTGTGATTTCAATCATGACGCCTTCTTTTACAAGAAATTGCTATTCGCTATAGAGAGAGCAATGCGTTGTATTAATTGTGTTGGTTGCATTGATTTTTCATAACATTATGTGATAAGTATAAGTTTTCGTTTCAACAAATGGAACTTCTTGAACTTATTAAACTATGTTATAAGACATTCGTGCAATAGCTTTAATTCTAGTCTACTTGATAATTTGGCTATAGGATTCCAAACTTGGTGTATACAAAGATTAGGTTCATTTTTACTCTTAAATAATGTATTTCTTTTCCTTTCCGCTTACGTTTTCTTGCCAATTGTTTTAGTTTTGTTGCTCCAACTTAAGTCCTTCTAATTTCTGTATTTTTTTCCTTTCACAGTTGCTGATTTTGTTTTTTAAGCTTTAATTGTTTGGGAGTTAAAAATTTTTTACATACTCATCCAACTTTATTAGGGAAATCCTTTTCCTAAAAAATAAAGGAATCATTATGCTCGCTTGTTAATGACCAGAACTCGTTAGATATTTCAACGGCCGAACTATCTTTGGGAATACCAAAATTATGTACTTGTTCGGGTTTATTTTGATCTTCTCTTTTCTGTCTCACATATTTTAACATCACCATAATTTTTTCCAAATATCAAAATTTCCGTTTTCATTTAGAAATAGTTCCCCAGAATCTTCTGGGTTTCTCAAAACTCACATGCCTGCTAATCAGCTCCGATGGCTCGCTAAGCGAGGTTAGGCAAGTGGACGTGTTATGGACTGCTATTTATGGGTCTCAGTAGACTTTGTCTGATGAGTGGCAGGACGTATTACACATACTTGGTGATCCATCGTGAGGGGACCACACTCCATAGTTAGGGTCTACTTCATAGTACCCGATTATATATCGGGTACTATTACACTATATCATATATAACATTATATCATTATATGTCCATAAATAATCAATCCATACAGATCAATACATTAACACTCATGTGATCCAACACTTATAAATACTTGAATCACTCCTATATAATATTCAATTCCCCATATCCGGCTATTCAAAAATACTATTATTTAACCTATCGGCTATGTGGATGTTCAAAACAATCTGTATTCTTATTTATCATATAAAACATTTTGAAAAATTAATAACTAATCAATATGCAAAATATCTATATAATAGAACCTAATAGAAATGACGTGCACATCAATATATACAAAGACAAAACCATATAATCAATTCCACATTCAGAATAGAATATCCTGAATATGGCATCAATCATATAAATGTAGTGTGATTAAACTTTTATTGAATATTAAAAATTAATAATAATTTACTTAAAAACAATTCACTATGAAAATAAAATGTGTGTTCGGTCTGCGTGCCGCCTTCAACTACTTCGCTCTGCCTCTTTCTTTTTTCTCTTTCGCCGTCAGAGCAAAAGTGTTGAAGGGTTGCATTTTACATTATTTCTACATAATTAAGTCAAAGTATCATGAATAAACGGTATCTACCGTTATCCTAGGCCAATCAAAATTAATATTTACTGACCCATCAGTAATATGACCATAATATTACATATGGGTACTCTAACTACCTCGACACATAATCTAGTTCCAATTACAATATCAAAATTCAGTGATAAATGAAATACAAACATCACTTACACATACTTACACATAATACTACTGTATTGTTAGGTTGATTGTGAGATATTTGCAATCTATGATGCTGTATTGCATAGAAATATTTAAAATTATAATTATAGGTAGGATTAAAGCAATTTCAACATTAAAAATTAAAAAAATAATTGTAATTAAAAATCTTGAATCAACGGAATCGACCGTTTTCCTATGGCTTAGAACCCACTAATCTTTACTAACCTGACGGTCATCATGCTGCCATCTCAGCGACCAATTAGGTGTTCTACTCTACCTAACCTTTATGCTGATCAATGTAAACCAAATCTTCACAGCTGAAGACGATGCTTCGTCGATAACGTTTCGGCTGTGAAGTGGTATCATAAAGATTTGGATAGGTTCGTCTATTAGGCTGTCCGTTAGGTAGTAAGAATTTATTCTTTATTAGAGTGCGTAAAGGTGAAGTGGGTTGACCATTTAACTGTAATTGAACGGATATCGCTCCAATTATCTCAAATCGTAAGAGATATTTGGGATATCCGTTTATCAATAATTGGGTTATACAGTGGGAGAGGTCGTTGGATAGAAAAGCATCACTCGTTCGATATAGTATTCGACGAATGTGCGAGAGTATTACGATTCTTTTAGATTGGATAGCGGTATGTGAGGTGTAATGAGTTAGGCGTAAGGATTGTGAGGGTTTTTGATAGACATTGATCAAGAAGGTGGTGTGTGTATGGAAGATACGGTAATCTAGGAAATTTACACAGGGATAGGAACACTATTTTAGATTTGGTTTTTCAATCTGATAGGATACACTATAGCCAGTATAGTATGGAAATGAGTCCATGAAGCTAACGACGGTGGTAGCTGGCATATACAATAGTACGTCATCCATATATTTCCACCATGTCATCAATCCATGGAATGGAAATAGGAGATTATAATGTAGCTCTATCTGAGCATCTAAATATAAGGTCGCTAGAAGATCTGAAGAACCTTCACCCGGGGGTAAGCCTTAAGTTTGGTGATATAAATCACCATTAAAAGTGAAGTAAAGTTTAGCATTAGCGAACCACCTCTTACGTATGAAATATTGTAGTAAATTTCATAAAGGGGTTTGAGTGTTTGAGTACATGTCTTTTATATCCATGGTTACTAAGACATAACCAGGCAAAGAAAGAAGTTGTAGTAAATGATCAGTTAAATGGTCTTTATTTAATAGGTTGTGACATGACAGACGACCTTCGAAGATTGGATTCAAAAGGTACTGGCACAACTTATGTAGAGCATAACTGTACCTTTGAAGAGGGGTACAAATGGGTCTTATAGGATTATCTGGATTATGGGTTTTTAAGGTTTCGTATAGATACGGCATTGTAGGAGTTTCGTTTAATAATTTTTTATTAATGTAGCAAAGATGGAGTAAGGGAAGGAGTTAGGATTTCTAGCATATAGGACACAAAGAGGCCAAGCTTTTCTTCGGTAGTAGCCTTGTATTCTCTGTCCTAATTCATCTTTGTTACCATGGAATATCCTGCATAAGCCAGATTGAGTGTATTGTTGTAACCATTATTTTTTTCTATATGTCCATTAACACAGTGGACTTACATTTATTGAATTGGACTAGGAATAGTTTAGGATTAGAGTTCAAGAATGATTTAGTAATGTCGAAGAGGTGTAACAGCATTTGATGAAAGGGGGATTGGGTTCTATGATTCTTCATTACTTGAAGGAATTTTTCATAGTGCTCTTCCATTTCAGACCTTCAAAACATACCAAAATCTATGTGTGACTCTATATAGAAGTGTAATAATAATGACTCAAAACACCATAATACTTGTTGATTGTGGGATGGGTAATGGGACAATATTTCAAAATTGAGTAGGATCTGTGCCTCTAGGGGCACGGTTAACCTCGATAGGTTTTTGAATCCACCAGGTATAGCGCGTGGGTAGAGCGTTGTAAGCTGTTTTATGTCGGGTGTGGAAAGGAATAAATGGTGTTAGAGATGTTTTCGTGGTTGCCATAAAGGTTCTATTGGGGGTCGGGGTGATAAAGATGATAACGAAGGAGGGTGATGGCTTGGAATTGTGATGTAGATGGGAGCTGGGGTTGGAGTTGACGATCTCTGATGGGTAAGATTTGATGTAACTGTAGATGTAGACGTGATAGTATTAGATATAGAACTATTTGGTAACAAAATATTAAATATTATAGTTGCTAGATTAGATATGGCATATGTAGATGTTGTTATTGTACTGTTCAACATGAGGGTTGCGGGTAGTGATATAATAGTTGGCATATTAGCAATTGCTATGGTGGATAAATGTGGTGCAACTGATGGTCCATAAAAAATTGTAGATTTTAATATATTATTGTCGGTAGAATAGTAGAAAAAGTTGCTATTAGATAATATAATAGTATAAAATCATTACCTTGAGGTACTGTAATGGTGTAAGTTGATTTCTTTGGACTGGTTGTTATTGGTTAGTCGGGTTGAATAATTGGTAGAGTAATGATGGCGGTAGGTGCAGTTGTAGTAATGGATGAATTAGTCCGGTCCAGTTGAGAGAGGTTGACGGATTCAGTAATGCAGTGTTGCGGTTTATTAGGATTACTATCTAAAATTTTTTGTTTAAAAGTAGATTTTTTCTATGAAATATTATTTTTAAGATGTACTTATATATTAATGGAGAAGATGTGAATTGATGTGGTGTATGTTCATGAGTTACATATGCATCCACTCAAACGCATAATAAATACAAATATAATATAATGGGTAATAAAGTTAACCCAGTATAAAATATACATTTTATTATTTTACTGCTCGTGAAAATTTCATTTATCCATATAATTTTATGATTCACAATATTGAACGATTTCAATATTGTTCGTGACAATTCCTAATTGGACAATTCGTCACACATTTCTACATAATAAATGGTACCATTGTTTAATAAACTAATAGATGTTTATTAATTATGCGTATTCAAGTTATAACAATGCATCTCTTTAACATCAAAGATCGATCATTAAACACGCACCTAATTATATTAGAAATTCTTCTATGATGATGCATCCAAGTAATATTGGTATAAAGTCACGTTCACCTAATTATCGATCCTAACATAAAATATGTTTTACGACACATTTTACAAGCATCGATCCTATTGGGTAATTACACTGATGCTTGGTATATGATAGAATATTATTCTATCATTCATCCCATATAAAAACTGAATGCACCACTCAGAGGCAGTCAGTACAATTTCGACCACATATTCACCATTATATTAAATTTCAAATCTCGTCCTCGTTAATAAAATAAATATCTTATTCGTGTGTGATTTTCTTTTATAAAAATAAATAAAATCTTAACTTTGTAAATGTTTAGTGAATGTTTAAATAAATAATAAAAATATATAAAAAGTATCATTCGTGTTTTATTTTAAAAATATATTTATATAACATAAATATATAATTCATGTAATGTGCTATGACATTAACTGGTGCTGGCAGTTGCTATTGGATATGTATGACATTGCTGTGGGAAGGTGATTGTAGGTGTTATTGAGGTACAAAGAAACAGGATTTCTGGTTTAATGGTATCCATTGTTGAACAATAGGCATTTAGTAGCTCGTAATCAGAATAATCGTTTTCCATGTTTTGATTGGTTTGTATAGTTCAGAATGTATATAAATTGTTTTTAGATAGTATACAAATTAATTATTATTTTCCATTTGTCCGTATTCCGTGTTTCTTGTTCGATAGATCAAGTAGAAGAGACCGAGCGCACTTTTGCGAAGTTGGGAGCTACCGAAGCCAAACGGAACTTTTCCAGACAAACAAGTGGATGTCCCGTTTGGTAGCAACCATGCGTTCGAATAATATCGCATGATTGCTCCGTTAATGAAACTAAGCACAGGGCCGGATTTGGGAGACACGTGTGTTAACTTACATATTTAAGGAGGGTGTTATAGAGTTTGGTATATTTTTGAAATGTATTGGAGACATTATGGGCTTTAAAATAATATATTTGGTAGTTGTTGGTATTGTATAGTTTAATTTTTATAATGATCTTAATTCCATTATACGTTTAGTGTAGGTTTTTGATTATTTAGATTTCTAAGAATAGTTATAAATGTATATAAAAAAATTTGTGAAAAAGTTAATGATTAATTACAATTTAATTTTTTCATTGTTATGCTGTATGTGCGATATATATAAAATAATAATGTTTATTACTTCAATTTTTACTATGAATATTGGTAGAGTTGAGGTGTTGAGATAAATTATCATATAAGCGTATATCTGCAGGCCGATTCTACTAATCGCTATCGCTAAAACTCCATTGCTTGTGAAAGTGAAAATATTATTTTTTACACAAATTGAGCAATTATTTTGTACGTATTTAGTATAATATTCATATTTATTTATTAATTAATTTATTGTGACAGAAATAAAATTGCATTTGAAGTTAAAATGTAAAACAAAATAACTATTGATATTACAAAAATTTTGTGCCAGTAATATAGTGATAAGAGTGTGTTTGGTATTCAGCAAATGTAAACAAATGTATTTTAGTTTTCATATTTCATTTTTAATTTTTGAAATTGCACCAAAAATAAATGAATTGCAAATGAAATGCAAATGTTTCAGGATCATACATTAAAATTCTTTCGTTGCTAAGGCAACGAATTGAAAGACACCAGTCTCTTTGTCTCTTGTAAAGCGATTTTTTCTAGTTCCAACCACTATGTCCTCTTTCTTAAAAGAACACTTATTAAAAAGTTCAAAATGTCAAGCCGGTGATTATAGCATGTATGAGAACCACCGAACCAATGTGGGTATAAAATATTTGTCATCGTAACGCATTCTACGATTAAATATTCTTTTATGTTTAGTCTACATGCTGGCTTATCAAATTTTTCACCAAATATTTTAATATGGAGCAAGCAAATTTCGGAAAAGTTATTGGATGGGTTATGTGTAAACTGCATTTCTCTGCTTTGTAGTTTTTCAACTTTATTAAATCCATCCTCCGTATACAATGTTAAATCGTCTAGTTTTGCCATGTTGTTTTTGCAGCTCTCACAATTTAATTTACTTAACCCTGGAAGGTCATCGTTATTTTTATACCGGAAAGATCATCCTTCGTCGATTTGACGACGACATTATTTAAGATCATGTTGAAATAACCCTATGTATCAAAACCCACAAAAGTTTTTACTTTTATATTATTTTATTTATATATTATCAAAATAATTCAATATCAAGGGGTTTTTTTACAGTTTATTAATTATAAATAAGGTTTCACAAATCTCTTCGGTTTTACTTTTTTGTACAAAATGGTAATAGAAAAATGTAAAAAATAAATAAATAAGACACATATTATACAAAATCTTATTTAGTGAATGCGCAAATTCCTTACACTACATATACAGTGAGCGACAAAACTCTACATACACGCCCCATTTTTGATAGCTCGTAAATCCAAGGACATAATAGAAAAAAGTAATGATATAGTTTTGTTTAGAACTGTTTTTTAATAATAATAAACAAAAGAAAATTCATTCATTAATATAAATTAACAAAGTTATTCGAAAAAAAACCTAAAAAAATCATTGACAAAAGTCTACATACACTTCATTGATTGTTAGATATAGTCAACAGTAATTTAAATGTTAAACGGGAAAGTACCGTTTTTCATATTTCATGCTTGTGGCATGAGTCATACATTTGTACGAGATTGCTACTCTATAATATTTATACTCAATGGTGCAACGCTTTGCATTTTTTGAGTGTTTTCAAAACTATATATAACTATAACTATATATATATAACGAAATTTCTAAGAAATAAGTATGTTAATACTTAATCACTTACCCTCTGGCATAACTGGCCGTGCAGGAACTTCTTCCGATATTTCCGGATCACACTGTATTTCTAAAAACAAAACAAAAGAGAGCATTATTATTAATATAAAAATGTTATATTAAAAGATTCATGTACAGTGAGCGACAAAACTTTACATACACCCCCCATTTTTGCTAGCTGGTAAATCCAAGGACATAATAGAAAAAAGTAATGATACAGTTTTGTTTAGAACTGTTTTTTAATAATAATAAACAAAAGAAAATCCATTCATCAATACAAATTAACAAAGTTATTCGAAAAAAACCTAAAAAAATCATTGACAAAAGTCTACATACACTTCATTGATTGTTAGATATAGTCGACAGTAATTTAAATGTTAAACGGGAAAGTACCGTTTTTCATATTTCATGCTTGTGGCATGAGTCATACATTTATATAATGCACTTAGTTGTGCTTTGAGAGTGGTATTTAATTGACACGATGGGTCCACGAAAAGAATTTCAATCTCCCGATGTATTTATAATTCTTAGCTTTTCGTTAAGTGTTTTGTGTAGTCGTTCAATATCTGCTATACCAGTTTTTCCTGTAGTTATTTTGTTGTGGGCACATACACAATAGGGTGTGTGTTAAACGGTTTGACCGTCAATGAATAAAAATATAAGAATAGCCTTGCAGTAAGTCTCATGTTGCGATGCGGTAGCATGGGACTATGCAGAAGGCAATAGCCCCACAAAGCGAGCGTGGAATTTGCTGACACTACAAAACGTGACCAGCAAACACGCTACTTTTGAAGCTAACGCAAAAGTACAGAAACTTTTGACTGGAAATTTTATATTACTCTCAAAAAATCTGGCTGAGCTATTCGCTGATCATAGTTCAAAGCCTAAAATAAAGTTTATGTCGATGACAGATCGACGCACAGTTTTCACGAAGTAAACCAATATTACGAAAATAATTATTAATAATTGAAAAAAATTGAACAAAATATAGGAGTGTCACAATATATTTACAGTTCGTTTATTTAGTTATTTAAAATTTTTTAGGTTTATAAATAAATAAAAATTTATTTTTATTTAAGTTTTTAAAGGTACTTATAACTTACACTGTGGCAACGCCACATTTGCAATTTCTTACTTTCGTTAAGAAAAGCATATGCTGTCTCTATCAGCTGTTGAGCAAATAAAATTTTATTTTTGTGTTTTTTTTGCTTTTGTTTAATTTGCAAATTAAAGTTTAATTTTTTAGAATAAAAAATTTTTAAATATACAAAACTGAACTTCACCTTTTAAAATCGGGCACCGTTTTGATAAATTTTATTTTATTTATGATCAACGGATCAAGTGTTTATAACTTTGAAATTTGAAATTTAACTTTTCGGATTAAAAAGAATAGAAGTTGCGGAGCGATCACTTTTCGCGCGTGTTTTCACCCACGGTTACAACTATTATCCACTCTCAAAAAATCAAAACCAAAAAACAAAACCACACTCTTATACTCTTCGTGGTAAACTTTTCGAAATATTCCGGTCTCAAAAGTACTCGAAGTATCGGAAAAAGGTGAAAGGGTGAAAAATTTCAGTGATTTCAGCTGGTGTTAGTGCACTTTTCACTAACACTTTCAAGAGCTCTACGGCGAATTGTTGTTGTGCGAAAAAACAAATTTTAGTTCACAATGGAGTTGCCGTTCTTGTAAGGTATTCTTTGATACAAACCATTCCACTGATTCAATAATCAAAAAGGTAGAAGGAGAGGAGAAAAAAAAAATTTTATACTGAGTTAACTTCAAATATTTTAAATAAATATATAATTCTTTTATATTCTTCGAAAAAACCGTATAAACCGTATAATTCGAATATTTACAATTAAATATTGAATTATTAATTATATGATTTAAATAAATATACCATATATGTTTATTATACCTTTAAGACCAATTCACATTCTTGATCCCAAGTTAATAAACACGATAGTAAAACGAATTCCCAGCACAAAATACCCAAAGTTGATAAACAAATTAATAAAACGCCTTCCCAAGGATAATTAAATTCAACAGCGAAAAGGAAACAATGAATAAAGCAAAAATACAGCAGCAGTGATTCCGCTGCTTGCGTACTCGGTAATTACCGAATGGTACTCGTATTCCCCACGACCAAAACCAATTATTACATATATTTATATATATCTATATAATATATAGATTATATATATTAACTGACAATATTAATGTTTCAAAATATTGCGACTTTCCATATTTTGAGATATAATTAACAATTCGCTAAATAAATAATAAAGGAAAACCACAATAAGGTAGTACACATACAGGTATATATTTAAATTACTTTAAATCTTTATTTTTTCAATCTTTATTATTGATAAAGCGTCAGCTACTTTATTTTCTTTATCCGGTATATATTTTATGTCGAAATCAAATTCATTTAATTTGATTTTCCATCTTTGTAATTTAGTATTGGGCTCTTTAAGATTATTGAGCCACTGCAAAGGCCTGTGATCACTATTTATTAAAAATTTTCGTCCATATAAGTAAGGTCTAAAATATTTTGTAGCCCATACTATGGCCAGTAATTCTTTTTCAGTTGCTGAGTAGTTTAATTCATGCTCATTTAGTGTACGGCTAGCGAAACAAATGGGATGACTTTGTTGGCTTAAAACAGCTCATAAGGCTACGTCTGAAGCATCCGTAGTTAAGGTAAATAATTTCTCATAATTCGGGTATGCTAAAATTGGTTCTTTTGTGATTAATAGTTTAATGGTTTCAATAGCATTAACATATTCCTTGTGTGTATGATTTATCTTATTATCTTTTTTTAGACATATTGTAAGTGGTTTTGTAAATTTTAGAAAGGTCCTTAATAAATTTTCTATAGAACCCTGCTAAACCTAAAAATTGTTTGACTTGTTTTTGGTATTGGGTAATTCAATATATCTTTAATTTTGATTAGATTTGGTTTAATCCCCTCAGATGTAACTATATGTCCCAAAAATTCAGTTTCCCTTTTCAAGAATTCACTTTTATCGACTTGTATTTTTAAATTTGCTTCTGCTAATTTTTTTAAAACTTTGTCTAATGATTATTGAATGTGTTCTTGAAGCGATGTGCTATATATTATTATGTTATCTAAATAGACCATACAATGCTTTCCGACTAAATCTCCTAAGATCGTATTCATCAATCTTTGAAAGGTTGCGGGTGCATTTTTTAAACCAAAGGGCATTCTCATAAATTCGTAATGCCCATTCTGTGTGGAGAATGCTGTCTTCTTTCGATCGATTGGATCCATTTCAATTTGATGGAATCCTTTAGTTAAATTGATAGTAGAGAAATACCAAGTTTGTCTAATATTTCATCCATATTTGGGATGGAATATTTGTCATTTATGGTGATATGGTGATATCATTTAACTTACGGTAATCTATGACAATTCTCCATTTTCTTTCCCCTGAAGCATCCTGTTTTTTTAGAACAACCCAAATAGGTGCAGAATATGGTGATTGGCTATGACAAATAATCTTTTGATCTAACATTTCTTTTATCTGTTTGTCCACTTCGTTTTTGTGGACTTGAGGATATCTATATGATTTAGTATAAATCGGGTCTTCATGTACTGTTTTAATTTTGTGTTTTATTGCGTTAGTGAAACTCAAACTATCTCCTTCCCTATAAAATAAATTGTCATATTTTTTCAAGACCTTTTTTAATTCTGTTTTTTCCTCTTGATTCAAATGATTTAGTCTGAATTGTATATTGTTATCTTTTAAATTAACATTTAATTCCTCTTTTGCATTTTTAAATTTTTTATTTAGAAATTTATATGTAAAATTATTTAACTTAATTGTTTTGTTTGCCAAATCGATTTTCGCTTTTAATTGTTGTAAACAGTCATACCCTAATAAACCATCATAGTTATCTGAGAAATTAAATACAAAAAGTCTTAATGGATTGTTATGAATGGGATCAAAAATTTCTTGGATTTTATTTAGAGTAATTTTTCCGGTTGTGGTCCTTAAGGTTATTGGGTTAACAATTTTAATTTCTTTTTGAAGTATATTTGTCTTTATTAAACTTACTGAAGAGCCAGTATCAATTAAAAAGTTGTAATTTTTACTATTGATTTTTAATTCAATTGATGGTAATTCTCCGAGGCCATTATGTGAAAATTTGGCGTATCTATATCCATTGGTTTAGGTTCTCCGTATCTTATAATACGAGACTGATTTGAATCATTTTCCCTTTGTCTTTTAAAGGGTTGATAATGTTTAGTGTTATGATTATTTTGAAACTTTTGGGTTTGGGAATTATTAGTATTATTAGGGGGATTGTTTAAGTTTGGATTAAAAAATTGATTATTATTATATTGTTGATTAAAATTATTATTAAATCTGTTATGCGGTGTATAGAGTTGATTATTATTATTATTGTTATTATGATAAAATGGTTTATTATGTTGTTGATTATTATAAAGAGGGTTGTTATAATAGGGTCTTTGGATGGGTGGATTATACATTGGTGTTAATCGCCTATTAGATATTACTGTATTTCTATACTCATTATTTATGACAGATGAACGATAACGAACTTGTGGTTTTCGGGAAATTTCATAATTTTGATTCATATTTTCAGAATTTTCGTACTCGTTATTTTCTCGTAAAATTTTTATTGCTAATCTAATATCAGTTACTAATGAAGTATTTAGAAGACTTGTTAAATGGTTTGGCAACTCTTTTTTTAAAACGTACAAAGTAGTCTGTTCTAAATTTTGTAAATAGAAATTCTTCTCAATTTCAGAATAATTACTGAGTTTAATTTTATCTTTAATTCTACAAATTTCATCATTTAACTCTTCACTCAGATGTTTTACATTATTTTTATATTTAACGTTATTTATGTTTATTATTAATGTAGAAACCGTTTTATGCTCACCAAACTCCTCAATTAATACTTCTTCAAATCGTTCCAGTTGGTTGGCTTCTCTCTCCGTATTACATTTAAAGCGGCACCTGTTATTGTCCTCAATATACAGTTGAAATAAACTGCTATATCTGCTGTCGATAGAGTTATAGGCTATAGTTGGCACTATGGATTCAATGTTGCCGATATACAGGGCAAGTTTTTCCTTGTTGCCATCAAATGGTTCAATATATTTTAGATTTTGTAAGATGAATTCTTTTTTCTCCCGAGCTTCCATGTTAGTATTTATGTTATTATTTCTGTTTATTGCTAAATTATTAACTAGTTCGTTTATTACGTTCACTTCTTCATTCATAATCTAGAGTCTTGAAATTGAATTTGAAGTTCACAACGTTCTTTTAAAAATTTTATTTATTTCTGCTCACAATTTACAAAAAAAAATTTTATAAACAAATTTATTTATTTATTTATATTTTTTTTTTACTGTTATTTCCTTCGAAGAAGTTTTTTTTCTTTGGGCTTCATCTGTAGACTGAAGTAAAGGTGATTGACGATTATCAATTTCAACGTTTGTCCATTGAACAATTTCCTCTATGATCTTTGGCGTAATAAACATGTGGAAACATGCCAGTGGATCCGTTATATTCTTGCATTGACGCGTTGGTCCTCGAACTTTATGTACAATATTTAGACCATAACGATGGGACTTGCCCTTCTGCGCTGACCACTTATGTCCATTTTTTCCTCGTAAAATAGTTTCATTGAAAGAAATTATGTTTGACTTGGCTTTCAATTAATATAAAGGTATATTGTCGTCACTTGTGTCAGTTGAATTCTCTGACGAACTTAAATCTAAATTCTCGCTTTGTTCAATCTCTATATCAGACTCTACTTCATTGTCCTCCAGATCAGCATCTAGTTCATCGTCAGGCTCATCATCCGATTTGAACTCATCGTCACACATTGTAAGAAATTTTTCAATTTCTTCATTGGTAAAACTTTTAGTGGCACTCATCTTTTAATAAATCTAAATAAAACCAAAATGAAACACAAAATAAAATTTTGAAAATAACTTTCAAAGAAAAAACTCACAATAAGGTCATCCTTCGTCGTTTCGACTACGGAGATTTAAAAAACATATACTTACACGAAGCCTATAAAGCCGTCCAACTGCATACAGCAACAGCACAATAGCAACTGACGCTGTACGAAAAATCAGCACAAAACAAATAAAAATAAAAAGTAAACACACAAAAATGTAAACAAGCGTCGTCGAAACGACGAAGCATGACCGTCCAGGGTTAATCTCGATTTAATTGCATATCCAATGAAATATAGAGATAAAGCTTTTTCATATATGCTGCCACATTGTGCCGCATTATTCATTTCAAGTACTTGATCAAACTCATTTTCTTCCAAATGCGGCAAATTATTTTCAGTTGCGTTTTTTTTTTATTACTTTGAACACTTTGAAGCGAATTATTTTCCGAACTAAAATTCCAATCCAAATTCAAATCACCATCGTCCTTGCAATTTTTACCTTTCGCAAAGCTATAATTAATGAATTTCATTGATATTGGCTTGCAGGTAAGTGAATGAATTTCTCTGGCAGAGGGGTACGTGATATGGCTTAGTTTAGCCCGAAACGTTGAAAAAAGATTCTCCAAGCAATCCTGGTTCAACCGCCTTAAACATATGAAGTTAATATCCACATTCTCAGTAAACACATCTTTAGACAAATCACATATGGCTGTGAGAGTTATATTTAAGCCCTGTATACATATTTTGTTGGAGCTTTTGATATATCTGAAGGAATTAATATATCTCAGGAAGCATTCAATTTTTTGAATTTTATTGCCATTCCGAGTGAGAGGGAATGGCATTAAAACAGCGTTCTTACTGGCAAAGCTCTTTGCATCACATATATCAAATGCATCGTTAAATGATTTGATAAACCGCACTGCTGCTTCCGCATTTATATAGCTGCGTTCCGAATTAAACAAACCGTTTTTATTGCAAAAAACAATACCTTGAGCCACTGTGTTACTTAATGTCTGTATTGCCAAACATACCCTCATCTTATCGAAAAGTTCTGGGTACACATGTTTTCTTGTCAATTTAGGAGCAAGACGTGTTGTTTTCGATGAAGTATCTATCGAAAAGAATTCTGTAATAACTTTCCAGCTTGCTGTACCTTGGTTAGTGAATATGTCATTGGCAAGCAACAAATTCCTTAAACTCTTAAATAAGTGGCAGTAATCATATAATGTATATATTTGCTGACCATGCAACATGAAGTGGTTGTTCGTAGCATGCGTTTTAAGACGATTAAAGCAGTTTACATTATTGGAGCCTTGAACCGAAATTACTCCTCTCACCATCAGCCCACATTCTGATAGCTTTAATATATTATCTTTCACAAGTAAGTGAAGTTCTTCACCTGTATAACAAAAAAGATATAGATATGTGAAAAATGATAAAATTTAAAAAATAAAATAAATTTTTACCATTTACAGCGTTCTTAGCAAAATAGAAGCTAAGAATATATTTCCATGGCTGAAAAAGACCTTTAACCATGAAAAAAAGGAACTTCGAGGCAAGATCATCTGTTCCTTTTCTATTGCCTAAATCCACAAAACCGTCTATTTTATGCAGTGTTAAATTATATGCCAGCTCCGGTCTGCCTTTAAATTCATGCATTATTAGCACACATTGCTTATCCCTATCAGACATATCTGCAGCAACGTTTTTTTAAATTAGTCATGACAATTTCATTCACTTCTGGCACTAAGTTTTTTATTAGGGACCAACGATACAATGTGGCTATGCATGGCAGACTAAATTTGAGACCATTTTTAAAATAATCATATGCTTTGCTAGATTGATAGAAAACTAAAAGAAGCAGTTCCTTTTGAAAAGAGTCGAATTTTAAAAGTTTATCGCCTCTCAATATAAGTTGGGCAAACTCTATTAACTCTCTATTAGCGGTATCTGGTATTTCAATGAATTTATTACAATTTCCTGTGGAACGTACTTGCCAAAGTTTTATCTCCTCTTCCAGATTTACTTTTTGTTGCTCCATTTTTTTCTTCTCTTCAGTGAATTTTGTCTGCAGTTCCTTCAGTTCTTGTTCCAACTTGCAGCATTTCAGCTGATAGAAACTTTGCAATCGACAAAATTTTTCACAATTTCTGCAACTTGTTTCGGTGCTTTCAGTTTTACACTCAGTGGTCGGTCCCGCAGCAGTTATATTAAACTGTGATGGTAGATATAAGCAGGGAATTGCATTACTTTTCAGTTTTCTTTTATTTTTCATATCAGGTTTGAAATACTTTTCACATATGTACCGTATACGGGACTGTTATACGGTAACATCCAGTCGGTTTTTTTTCTCTTGTGGCACTTTATAAAGTACATTAGGTGTGTAAGAACTATTGCAACTTGGCACATAACATTTTTTTTTAATTTTTTCGTTTCATTGGCGAAAAATGTGGGATACATTAATTCGTCATCATGCCCTAATCAAGATTTGAATTATTATATTACAAAATAAATTTTCTTTAATTAAGAGATAGTTTTTAGAAATTGTCAAAAACATATTTAAAGCTACATATTTTCATTATCTTTTACAGTAAAAATAGAATAGAATTAGAATAGAACTTTACTATTAATTTTAGGGTGAGGGTACCAACCTTAATATTTATTATTATGTACTTTATTTGTATCTTAACTTATATTATTAGGTATTTTTTTATTTATATGAATATATTTGACTTACCTAATAAAAGTGTGGGTATTGCGCCAGATTTTAATCTTTTTTCCCCCAATACAAGATGTGTCAAAATGACGGCTACAAATTCGACGGCTGCTATTGATGGAGTCATACAGTTTGTCAAGTATCAGTTTACACATTCAAAAAAAAATTGAAAATTTCAATTAATTCAAAAAAAGACAACTTTTTGTTTTAGTATATATGTTTTTTATTTTATATATTTGTTAACTACTATAGTAGAAATCTTCCATCATTTTTGTGGTAAATTTACAGTAATTGGCGCCTTGCGTTGATTCTTGTCAGAGATGTTGATACTTAATTAGTTATTGTTTTCTAATTTTTTCACTTTACTAACTAAAATATCAATGTTTTTAAATGTTAAATGAAACATTATCGTTTGGAGTGGAACAATCCAGGTATTATAGCGGCCACTTGGGGAAAAGTGCGCCGAAACTATGAGAAATATTTTACTAATATTGTAGGGCTATTTATAATATTGCAAATCTAGCTGAATACAAGACTAGTTTAGAGCCAAAGTTTGAGATTATTGTTAAGATCAACTTTCACAGCATATGCAGAATATGTTATCATGACGAAAATATAAAAAAACCGGGAAAATTTGATCATGGTCTATACTATGGAAATCAGGAAAGAATATATTGTTATTGTTTCTTATATAACAGATTAATATATTGCATCTCGATTCAAGTTCTTTCTGCTTTCTTTTAAAATCGTTTATATTGAATAAATGTATTATTATATCATTTCGCGCATCTTCAATATATGGTTTGAGACTTTTACTTATTCGTGGTGGTCGGATTAGAGTATGCAGTTCAGAGTATAAATATCGGTATAATAAATATTGAAATATAAGGAAATACCTTTATTTGTATCTTTGTGAAATATTGCATATTCAAAGGTTCATGAATTAAATGTGGAAAAAAATTTTGTGTTATTAAAACGAAAAAGTTTTGATACTTTTCAAAAAGCTTTTCTTTTTTTGAGGAATGCATTGTTTGAAAATCAATGTCTATCAATTCAAGTCCTACTTGATCAGATTTTCCTCCCATAGTTCTACGGTTCCACACGCATTCCGGGTGATTTTTTTTTTGTTTTACATTAAATACAATTTTAAATTTATAAATCAAACTTGTAAGATCTCAATTATTGCTTTCCTGATGTTAACCCGAAATAAATATTTTTTATTAAATAATATATGAAATTTTATAATTATATCACAAATATATATTTGATAAATAAACTTATTTTTATATTTTTATGTATGAATTATATATTTTATTTATTTATTTATTATATGTTTAAAAAAAATTCTTACCTGTTGTTTCTTTTGAATTTTGTTTATTTATATTTACATTTTGTTTTCAATGTTGCATTCGTGATATTTGGTATAATTTTGGTCGAATTTTGTTTACTCTATGCTATAATAAATGAAAAAGCACGGATATAGCTTACTAAGTACGTAGTGGAAACGTACTGTAAGCGAACAAGTAGGCCTTACTAGTATTCGATCACAAAGTTATTTCTCTCTTAATTGTCTAATATGTTATTCACAATAACTGTACTTTTTAGTAACTGAGCCAAGTTGAAATCAATTGTACTTTCCACAGATTCGGACTTTTCAAGTGGTACAAAATAAATTTATAATAAAGCTTTTTAAGTTTAAAAAAATTAATTATGTTTATTTCTTTATTTACTGTTGGCAAACTATTAACATGATTAAATTAATATATCTAAGACACATTTTTATTCAACTTTCGACTTACGACTGACTTAAATGATTCATTTTAAGTCAGTTACTTAAGTCAGTTTTTGAAGTTTCAAAGATTGGATAAACTTATCTATTTATAGCTTCTAAAATTTTTCTAAAAATTTTCGGAAACTTCGGATTAATCGTTCTATTTTAAAAATTGTCTATATTGCAATTTTCAGTCTTGAATTGCATTCTTAATTGTTCAACACAAATCAATATTTTTTTTAAACTACACAAACAAAAAGTGAAAAATACACGTAAAATTTTAATAAAATCTTTGCAAGAATTATACTCCAGACAAAGGGGTATCTCTCGTAAAGTTAAAAAAGAATTTAGCAGAAAAATATAACATCACGCCGGTTACTGTGAGGATACTATTATTGATAAAATCAATGTTGAAGGAATGGATAGCTACTGCTCAGGTCGATAATATTACTGGCAGATGATTAGTGGGTCAATTTAAATTAAAATAGTAAAATTTTGTACCTTGTACAACACACCGATAAGTGTGAATGGTCCTCCGGTTGTACCATCGGCATCTGGTCCAAGTAAACGTCGCATGTATTCTAATGTAGTTCTCAACGCTGATAAACCTAAAAGTTCAACAGATCCGCATAATAGTGATGAATGGTTTATATCTATTGACTCTGCTACACAAACAAGAAATTTTATATTTGATATAAGTGAAATTTCGGCAATTAATAATAATTTAGTTAAGTTTAATTAATAGCGAAAGAAATTAATTTACAAATCTGTATATAAATAATATAATTTGTACAAAAATTTTTAAGGTTATTTATAAATATAAATTAACATTAGTACCATTCCTTGTGGGAACTGATGGTATAGAAATTGCCGAAATTTCACTCATATCAGATGTAGAACTTCTTGTTTGTGTAGTATTTATTTTTCTATTTTTGCCGGTATTATCATTGGCAGGCTTTCCAGGACTCTTTTTTTCCCCCGGAATACTATTTAACTTATTATCTCCTATTTCTATTTTGGGATAATTATTGTTAATTTGAGTCGTAAGTTCTGGTTGGTTTCCTTGTGACTTGTTATAAATTTTTTTTCGCCTCCCTGATATTTGAGAACGCCTTCCTTAATGTTAATAGTTCCTTTGATTTTTTTTTTTTAATTATGGGCATATTAAAAAATCGGATTCGAGATTTTCAATTTCGTAAAATAGTTGTTTATACCCAAAACGAATTTCTGTCTCGCTTTAAAACAACCAAATTACATATTCGGATTAAATTAGAATTATTGAAACATTCATATTACAAAAATGATTCATATCAAATATTTTTTTACAATGAAAGCAATGAAATCAATGCTCGATTGCGTGGTCAATATCTGTTTGAAGTAAGCCTCTAATATCGCTAAGCGACATTTTAGTTCAGCATGTGGAAGTACATTTCCCTCATTCCTTGCGGATTCAATATAATTCTTAATTCGTGTCATGCTTTTTTTAGTGTTGGCTCTTTGCTGCTTTAATTTTTCTGCCATTGTGATGTAAAAATATAATGTACAAAATAAATGCACCAAATACAGCAACAACTCGTTAAGTAAATGATAAACAGCAACAGCAATAAGAGTCGACGTAAATTCTGCATGCAGCGACAGCACTGAAAATTGACGATGATCGCAGTAGCAGCAACAGTATAAGAACTCCAAACAAATGCAGCAAGCAGCGACAGACTAACTGCAAAGAACCGTTAAACAAACGACAATAAACTATAAAGCGAGTCGGCGACGATGGTCTTGAATTAAACACGAGATTTAATTTAAATATAATTATATGGAGCACAAGAACCGTAGAACAAACGGCAGTAACAATGCAACAAAACGGCGACGACGGGCTGAAAATGATACAAGAACCGTAAAACGAACGGCAGCTACAAAGCAACAAAACGGCGACGACGGCCCGAAAATGAGACTGTTCAAGTTTTTATTATTAAATATACAACATATATTATATATTTAATATATATTAAATATATCACTTTCAAATGTCTAAATTATACTTTGTCAAGTATCTATCGTGCCCCACGTTGGGCGCCAAAAAATGTACCAAGAAGAATTTTTCTTAGTAAAACTAAAACCGAAAAAGAGACGACAAAAAAACACGTTGTTTTTTTGTTCGAGTTTGATCAAGACTGATCGTTTTTATTGTAATAACTTACATTGTGCAACAGGGTTGCCAATAATACAAAAACTTTCGTTATTTATGAACATTATATATCAAAGAATACTTTTACAAGAACGGAAACTCCGCCCACTTCCATCAAAACGAAGAGAAATTTATTACACTTTGGCACACGTATGGAATACATGTGATTTTACCACGATAACATCAAATTACTCTCTTTTGGGGTTGCAGTATGTATATCAATTTCTTACTACTTGCTTATCATACGCTTCCTTTTAATAATATAAAAAACTAGTGCGTACCTTATTTGGTTAATAATATCACATCACATAAACAGAATATATATTGTAACAACATAAATATATGATAAATAAATATATAAATTAATATATAAACATTTAAATCAGTCAATTTTAATCAAAAAAAAATTTTTAATATACCATCATATTTATAAAATATATTTATTAATAAATATTAAAGTATTTAAGAATATTAGCTAGGTTTAATTAAAAGAAGTACAAGTTGTACTCATTATTTATTATTTTTAAGAATTGAAATAATAATAACAATAATTTAATAAACATACAAATTTATTAAAGGCATTTGTGTAAAACAATATATATTGTTTGCGTACATAAGGAATAATATTTAAATAAAAGAAATTGTCTTTTTTGAATAATATATTAAAAATATGTTCAATATGATATTAAAATCTGGGACTAGATAATTGTAACCATACATACATATATATTAAACTTTATTACCATGCATCACTTTTATAGAAAATGCACTTGCGATATACCTGAAAATAATTGTTTAAGATTACCGGATCAAAAATGCATTAAAGCCGTTAAACGAAAAAAACTTTAAGAAAATATCATATTAAAATTTTTTATAATAAACTAATATGTTTTTTATAATACACAATTCTTATTCCAGAAAAAGAATAATTTTTAAAAAAAATGTTATATTAAGGCAATTCAATTATTGTTGAAAATAAAACAGAAAACAGAAAACAACAAAATATTAATAATGCAAAATAAGCAACCTCAATTTTTGACAAAAATTGTCAAAAATTTATATTTTCTAATTTCAAGCAGTCGCAAGAAATATACGATTTAATTCAATTCAGTGTTTTTAACATGAACAAATGGAATAGTAAAATTTGTTAATTAGAAAACATATTAAAAGTTATTTTATTACATAAAAGT